GTGTAGACAGCTCGCAGCTTATTCTGGAAAAGCGGCTGCTTTTCCGGAATAAGTGGCCCAGTGTAGACACAGCCCCAAGTGTCTCAGAAACTGTCCTCCCCTGCAACTCCATTTCCCACATACTTTTAAGTCTATTTCCCATCCCTTTCCCAGGTAAATGCTTAAATTGCCCGATTTTCTTTTAAGAAACAGTAGTAGCCTGTAACTTAAAAGCAATCTTAATGCTGCACATCTTCTCTACAAGCCCTGCTCAAGTCTCTCACCAGTCCCTTCATTTCAGTGCTTTGTCGTTCTCCACCCACACTTGCTGTGCGTCCACCCCACTGCTCTCCAACACTGGACTGACATATCAAGTGTTTGCATTGCCCATTCAAAGCCCACTTTCCTCCACTGCCTTGCACCTTGATCCCAATTTTAAAAACACTAGAGAATTTTCTGTCAGTAAGTAACTGTTTTTGAGCAGTCTCTACTTTCCTTATCACCTTCCTTTGTCTTGCTTCAAGAGCCGCACTTCCCAAGTTAAACACGGTAAGATCTTTGGGGCAAAGATTGTGCTTGCCCCCATCTCTGTAAGGGGTCATGGAAAGGTAATTGCTACATAAATGTTTTATCGCTAAAATTAATGATTTTTCCTTAGTGTTGTATGTCTGAGAAAACATCAACTTTTGAGAAATATCCTAATTTGTGTATGAAACAAATATTCATCACACCCTTACATTTTTACTCAGCCTCATGCTTACCAGTGAAAACAGCATTTAACAGTGAAAAGTGCATTTGACAGCATTTTCCTCAGTCACATTTCCCTGTTGTGACACAACTCTAGCTAGTAACAGTAATCACTGGGGTGCATTTTTAACAAACAGTTGAACAGTCAAGGACACTCACAAGAATCATTGGTACAAAGATCTTCCCCTCTGCCACAATACTGTTTTCCTTTGGTTCGGAGATTGGCTTTCACAGGACAGTCATCGCTAGGTTTCAGAATCAGGCTGAAGACCTGCTTTCCTGTCCACAGGGTTACAGGCTGAAGGCAACAAAGGGAAAGAATCAGACACGGTTTTCAATAGGGTTACAGTTCCCAAACAGCCAATTTTTATACGCTGCTCTAAAACAGTGTTTAACATATTGGTGGAACAACATGTGGAAGTCAGGTTGCTGGAAGGGCTGCCATTAGTCAATCATAGAATACTAGAACTAGAAGGGACCTTGAGAGGTCATCAAGTCCAGTCCCCTGCCCTCATGGCAGGACCCAGTACTGTCTAGACCATCCCTGATATAGACATTTATCTAACCTACTCCCAGAGATGGAGATTCCACAACCTCCCTTGGCAATATATTCCAGAATTTAACCACTCTGACTGTTAGGAAGTTTTTCCTAATGTCCAACCTAAACCTCTCTTGCTGAAGTTTAAGCCCATTGCTTCTTGTCCTATCATCAGAGGCCAAGGAGAACAATTTTTCTCCGTCCTCCTTGTAACATCCTTTTAGAAGAGAGAGAGGGCAGGGAGGAGAAGGATGTTAAAAGTTACCTACCCCCAGGCTCCTGTCTGCCCGTTCCCCCCCGCACATGTAAACATATAATCGCTGAAAAGTCCAGCGGTTATATGTTTAAACAAATACATGTTAGTTAACACCCCTAAACCCCACTACTTTCAATTTTCCCCCACAATCCCTATGACATTTTCATTGTCTTAAATGCTCTAGACTCCCTACGGTGCTGCTGTGTATTGTAGTGAAGGAGCTGAGGACAAGTCAGTAGGATCTGGAAACAGGAAGGAGGCAGAAGATTTAATGGGAAAGTGGAGGATCGAATTCCTTCTCATCAAGCCATTCGTGCTGAACGCACAGGGCCCCAATGCAGGTGGCAGCAGCTAAAGCATCAGCACCAGATACTCCATTCAAGTTCTAACGCTCCAATATGCAGCTCTAACAAGTTGAGACTCACTGCCATGGCATCTCCTGCTGGTGAGTCCAGGAAATAGCTCTCCCCCAGCTCTGGAGTGTCCTCTTCCAGTTGACATTTCACCTGCTGTTACCTATCCATTCCCTGTTCTCCACCACATTCCACCAGGCCACATGTCCTCCCAGACTGTGATGCCTTTTCCCCATGGCGCCCATGCTTTGGGGTCCTCGTCTCCTGAGGAGCCCAATCACCCCTAAAACAGCACTTGCCTCAGTGATCTGCTCCTGTTGGTCAGTCTGAACTGGACATGTCCCCAGAATTGCCTTTTGGTGGCTGCTGAATGGGTCAAGTATGCACTATAGCAGGGGTGGGCAATAATGTTTGATGGGGGGGCATTACAAGAATTTGGTAAGTGATAAAGGGTCACTCTTTCATGATATTAATGGAAGAGATACAGGGTCTGAGATGGAGATTGGATGCAGAAGGGAGCTTGGGGCAAGGAACTGGGGTGCAGGAGAGGGTGTTGGGTCTGGGAAGAAATTTGGGTGAAGGAACGGGTTCTCACCTGGGACAGGGGATTGGGGTACAGGAGGGGACACAAGGGTTTGGGTTGTGACCCAGGGCAGAAGAGGGTTGTGACCAGAGAAGGGGATTGAGGTGCAAGGTCTGGGAACGGGTAAAGCTGCAGGATGGCCAGGGCAGAAGACTGGGGGGAGGCAGGGCGGAAGATTGGGGTGGTAGAGGCAGGCTCTGGCTGGGAGACACTTACCTGAGCAACTCCCAGTCAGCAGCCCAGCAGGTTCTCTGCCTTCCATACTCTGGAAGGTTGCTCAGAGCAGCCGCTGTGTGTGATGTGCATCGGAACAGCTGCGAGTCCAAAGGGAGGGGCAGGGAGAGGTAACTTGCCTGCTGCCTGTTCTTCCAACAGGCAGCTCCCATTGGCCCGTTTCTGGTCAATGGGAGCTGCATGATTATGCTGGGCTTTGTGCCCTCCTCCCCCACCAGGCTAGCAGCTGTTCAGAAACTGGGTCCCGCAGCCAGCTTTTCTGAGCAGCTTGAGGAGCAGGGAAGGCAGGGAGCTGGCCTGCGGACTGCATTTTGCCTGGCCCTGCACTAAATCCAATAGAAATCATGGACAAACTTCTTTGCAACAGTTAAAAAACCCCATAGGATCACAAACCTTTAAGATTGCTGGGTGTGGAAGGCGAACTTTAATCTTCTCATCCTTGCCAACCAGGATAGAAGCAATAATTTGACAGGCCTTGGCACGGTCAAAGAAGGTGTCTTTTAGTGTGAGAAGATAGGCACCTAAAAGGCAAAAAAGATTAACCTGTCAGGCTCAAGTGGAATTTAAAAAGGACTGCATGTTGAGCGATATTCTGACCACTAGTTATCCAACTGATCCAGATGACATTTAAATTCTAAAAGGCCATACTGACAACTGCTATCAAACATCCTCTTCTTTATTAGGTCTCTGGCCACAGATAAATCCACTAAGCATTTTCTATAACATTAAGTAACCTTCTAGACACATAAGTGACACCATCAACTTTTTTTAACCCTACTATTATTACAAGTAACTCTCTGATGTCAGATCATAACTGAAAAACACGGTGTAGATCAATTTAATTGCAATTTAGCTGGGGAATCCATTTTAATAGGTCTTGCAAGAGGACAAAAAAACATTTTTACAAGTTGAAAATTGGGTTGCAAAACCTCAAAAACTGTGAAGGGGCTTCAGACAGGTACACTCTCATCATGGGTGAAGGAATGATTTTCAGATTTATGTGTTTTAAAACACTTGCTGTGTTTATTTAGGTAATTTGATTTGTGAAAAAAACAGATTTATAGATTAACATGGGACATTATTCATTGCACATCTGACAAAATGGGGTTTTGCCAATGAAAGCTTATGCCCAAATACATCTGTTAGTTTGTAAAGTGTCACAGAACTCTTCCTTGTTTTTATGGGACATTACTGATTTTTTAAAAAAAGTGTGTAAGTCATACCTACACATTTCTAAAATGACCTTTACATACTTACCTGTAAGAAAATCTTGAATAGCAGCAATCAGAGGCTCTCCATTTCTTGGTGTTACCAAGTTTGCTTTGGTCTGCAGAATGTAGGAAAGAAAATTAAGTGTTACTTGAAATATTCTGTGGAAAAGATTAACTTAATATACATTAACATTGCTATACAGAACTTTCAAGAAAAGGGCCACTCACATAGTTTAACGTTAGCATTTACTCTAGCACGGTTTTTCCCAAATGGTGCTCTGCAAAGTGCAAGTAAGGGTTCCACGAGAACTTTACTGCTCCCCCACCTCCTCCCCAAAGAGACAGATGAAAACCCAGGTTTCTCTGGTGGTGGGTGGGGGTTTTGCTTGATAAATTCCTCCCCTCCCCCAGCTGTAGGGATTCCTCGGAATTCTTCTCAGTTTAAAAGGGTTCCGTGGCCAAATTAAATTGGGAAACACTGCTCTAGTATGTAGTACAAATCTGTGAACTCGAGGGTCTATAACCAGAGATTCCTTTCATATCCCTACAGCCAATACACATCTAAGATATGGATTAGCTTTGGGAAAGACTGAAGGTATGTACACCTTTACAAGTTGTGTGCTCAGTAAAACAAGTTTTACTCATAAAAGAAAAATGGCACCCAAATGTAGCATGTCTGGAAGTTTACTTCTCAATCATTTGTGGTGGAATTAACTGATGCTAGAAAGGTAGATTCCCAAGGACACAAGTAAAACCTCATAGTGACATTAATAACAAACCTAGGACACATGGCTGTTTAGCAAGACTGTTGAGTAGGATTGTAACAGACCTTTGGTCAGAAAGGGAGGAATAGTTTCTACTGATGTATTGGTTGAAGTGAGTTAGTCAAGTTACAAATACAAGGGATAGTATTGCAGGCATTCCTTATAAAGTTGTGAGTTTGGTGACCCCATCATTAATCTGTTTCATTAAGTGGCTACCTTAGCTACCACCTCACTTCTTAACTCTGATCTGCACCCTGTATGGCTGTAGTCTTGACAGCCAGGATATATGGGAGATCTACTATACCTTCAAACGCCTCCCACGAGTAATTGCTAGTCTGGAAGTGAAATAATTGCCAGTGATCTCCCTTATAATTGGAGCCAGTATCAGGGTACAGCATGAGACTTCCCTGACACAATTGCCACTCCTTTACATGTAACTCAATAGCCTCCTAAGGTCTGGTCTACACTCAAAATTTGGTCGAGATACCAACAGCCCTTGGGATGAAAAATCCACACCGGAGTATCATAGCTATACCAATCTAACCCCCAGTATGGAGACAGATAAATCTATGGAAGAATGCTTCCATTAACCTAGCTACTGGCACTCAGGAATATGGTGTTCCGACAGCGATTGAAAACCTTCCCTCACTGCTACGGTCTGCATCTACACTGTGGGTTTACGACAACATACTATGGCACTGCTGTAGGTCACATCTACACTATGGATGCAATGTCCCAACCTACTTTTGAAAAGAGAACTCAGTGCTCCACTGTTGCCCTGTCAGTTGGAGGGGAGATTAGATGATGTGGCAGAAAGTAAAATACCATAGATCCCAAAGCAAAAGCCCTTTGTTTCTGCAGTCTGTCACTACAGGAAGGCACGCAGCTTAATAGTCTCTGCAAATGTGGGTTTTTTTTAAGTAGTTATCACAATGATGCGTCTACTTCTGTTTAAAATCCCCTTGGTTTCTGAAAGTTTTCCATGCCATAGCACTAGTCCCAAATAACTAGTTAGCTGCAGAATAGAGCATTGGTCTCCTGAAGCAGTCCAAAGGCCTACCCAAAGAATGCAGATCTCATGGGCAACTCAAAAATACAAGGTGTTTTTTCATTCAGAAATGCAAGCTCACATTACCACAAGCCAGAAGTAAAATACTCCATTTACCCCCATCAGAATCAATGCTTCTGCTTTGGCCTCCTCCGTTTGAGGAAGATGAAGGTTCATTTCATCTCCATCAAAATCAGCATTGTATGGTGTGCAGACACATTCGTTAAACCTGAAGGTCCTGTGGGGCTTTACTCTAGCCTGCAAGAGATGAAAAAATGATGCCACAAAGACCATGAACTACACTGAGATTCAGAAAGTTCCAGAATCTGCAAGTTTTGAGTGGGTTTTCTTCGCAAATGATACTTTTACTTTTTCTTAAATATGAAGACTCTTAAAATGCTACATCTAATTATTTACTTTAATTTACACAGAAACTGATGGAGGCTCACCAAGTGAATTTACTTACTAACCCCTTAACCTTGTGCTTGCAAAGTACAAAATGCATCATTCTTAGGTATCAGAGCTCTTACTAATGCTACAAATGTTGTTACTTTTACATCTACTTCTATGCTGCATGCATACACCAATGTAAGTCAGTGGAATTTGAACAAGACTACTCATGTAGTGTTGCTCTAAGATGAAGGGGGCCAAAAAAAGAGTTTGGCCGAGAGATTAACAAATAAAACTAAACCACCAAAGGTTAAAGTTGCAAGTTAGCCAGGCTGTGCGGATACTCACTATGTGAGCCATTATGCTTAGCTTGTGCAGAGAGGGCTGTCGGTTGAACAGAACTATATCCCCATCTATGAGATGTCTCTCTACTATGTCACCATACTTGAGCTCCTGAGCCATCTTCTCACGGTTTCCATATTTCAAAAACCTTATATAAAAACACAACAAGAGAGCCAAAATCCCATGGAAAAAGGAAACCCAGAAAAACAGACAAAGAGGATTTCTTATACTCTGATTTGTTAAAAAGCCTCCAGTGACAGTCACTTTGAAGCAGACATGCATTCTGCAAGTTTATTAAATATTAACAGAGTGTCTGTCATCGAGCAGAACTGAGAGGTAATGTCTTTCACGCAAGTTTTAGATTAAGACTGAGGTCAGTTGAATAACAAAGATACAGCAGAGTTACATAATCCATTAGCAAATAACTACATCATTATTCCCCACGGCAAAGGTGGATCCGTCACCAAAGACGGCACATCCATGAAAATCAATGTTTTAAAGAAAAAAATTAGTTTTAAGTTCCCAGGGAACAGGCCTATGTCATCCACAAATTGCTTGCTAACAAGAACACTGAAATCTATGCCTATCAAAATGTTCTAAATAGGAGAGCTTATCTACGTTCACATTTGCTTCTACAAGCTATCCTTAGGTCATGGAATATTGTTTTATTTGTTACCAAAGATGACAAACCAAAAACTTCAAAGAAGTCCCTATGGTGAATAATCTGCTGGTTTCAGTTCAGCAGTGAGACCTATTAAGTAGCAGTGGTAGGTGGCAAGTGAACCTTTACAGATAAGTACCTTTTCATTTGCGTGTGCCTCTGCTGAATGAAATTGGCACCAGGGTGAACTTCAGGACCGTTCCGTACAAGTTTCCTCATAAAATTTAGGTTAGCTTTGTTCACCTGCAGCATAAAAGGTATCAGTTAGAAACAAGCAAAACATTTTACCGCCACTTGCTATTCCTTGGGTTTGTACTTTGGGATTTTTTGGTTCAACTTCCATTTCTATACTGGTTGCCCCCCCCATATTTTAAGCTCCTGAAGGGACATGAAAAGAAGAAAAATACAAGCCAATTTTGACCTTATGGAGGAAAGACTATTGACTGAATTGGAATGAATAACTTGCTGGCCAAATTCACAAATAGAGGAAAGCTTCAGAAGCTTTCTAAAATGCTGAGATCTATGTTAAATGCGAACACAGTTTCCATTAGCAAAGTTGACATCCTCATTGTACAGCTGGTCTGTTTTATGCTACACAATCAAAGCAATGAGAAAACAAAGTGCAGACAGGATCACAGATAAATTATGTCTTCTGCATTTTAATCTATTAGGAACAAAGTATAAAATCACAGACACACTGTAATGTGAAGTCATGCAAAATTTCTAACAGATTGGACAAAACTGACTTGGTTGTTTTTCCATGACTGTCCCTTCATGCCTCCCTCCTTATAGTCTGCAACAAACATCCCCTCTGCCTTGCTCTGTGAAACAAATCAGCTTTACAATGGACAATGAATCTATGCCCCTATGACCTTCTGGTGCTAAAGGCACTGAGCACCTGAAACTATATGACATTCTTTCCCAGTACACACTCTATTGATTCCCTTTCTCTCCAGTGATTTGAACTGCACAATGAACAATGAAGGTATCTGGAGAAACATGCATGAAAAGAATTTCAGTTTTACACTACTTACTTTTTCAGGGAATGTTAAAATTTTGGCAACGTGAACAGGCACAGCCACTTCGTCTATTCGTAAGTTGGGGTCAGGGGAAATGACAGTTCTGCCTGAGAAGTCCACTCGCTTTCCAGACAGATTGCCTCTAAACCGACCTAACAAAGCAAATTAAAGCTAGTTGGGGAAAGTTATACCGTATAAAATGACATTTGGGACAACAAAGTGTTAATACAGCATAGTAGGCACATCATATAGGGAAACACTGCTAATTTGATCTGCCAACACTGCTCTGACCACCACGCAGTGGAAAAGGTTTTGGCTTTAAAAAAAAAAAAAAAAAAAAAAAATTTGGGAGGTGGAAAAGGAACAGTTTCAACATACCTTGCTTCCCTTTCAGTCTTTGAACAAAACCTCGGGTCCATTTCTTGGGTGCCATATTAAGAGGAATTCCAGAAAGCTCACTGTTAATGTACAGGGCACACTGTAGCTGTAGGAAGTCCCAGTCTTCCATTATCATCTGTGTTTTGGCTCCCGATATCCTATGCTAAACAAGACAGTTACCCATTTCAGAAAACAAATGTAGCGACACACAAAATTGGCATTGAATACATTTTTCAGAAAGATTCGCACCACCTTAAGCTGCAAAAGCAACAAGACATTGGTACCCTCACCATAAGTAATAACGGGCCACATTCTGTTCATGCATAAGGTTGCATGGATGTAACAGAACAGAACCCGGCAAAACACATTTTCCTTCTGGCAAGGCCAGCTTCTGATTAATGACAAACTAAAGGATTTGTGCCTGTTTGATTATCTGACCATTTTAATACTTTGAATGTGTAATGCAAACAGCATGCTGTGGAAACACATTACAATTCATTAAACACGACTAATTTAGCAGAGAGGTCGCATACAAAATTACACTGTATTTCGCACTCTTCTAGATGAAGATCATCGTTCAAAGTTTCACTCCTGCATTTCTGTAGCATGAATTAAGACAAAACAACAGGTTAAGCCAGTACTAATTTCTCTATTTCCCAGGGAAGAGCACACATGCTCTAGAGCAGTGCTTCTCAACCTTTTTTTGCTCATGGCCCCCTTCTGAGCCTCATTCATCGTACACCTGGCAGTTAAGTTTGGGTGGCCCCCTCAGAAACTTACTGTGGCCTGCTAATGTTCTGGTTTTTTCCATGTGGCCCCCTAGAAGTAAGGCGTGGCCCCCTGAGGAGCCATATGACCCACGTTGAGAGCCACTGCTATAGAGCACCATTTCCCACGATGGGAGAAAAATAGGACATACAAAGGGCTAGTTTCTGGGGGACGTATGGTAAACAAATCTCTCCAATTGCATTGAGAATTAAATTGTTCTCCGATTTACGTTTTTGTTTAAAAACCATTCTAGCTGTAATCATTTCAAATACAACCTTGAAAGCATGACCTGAATACAACCAATGTCTGAGTTTTCAGAGAGTGGAAACAATAGCTCTGAACTGTGAAGTGCCCCTTTTATTTCAATGGGTACTGACTGACTTTGTGCAGTTTTCTTGACAGGTTTCATTTCACTGGGCTAAATTACATTTCTATTTAGCTTAAACCCGGGCCTAATCAATTTAAACTAAACCAAGTAAATCTGGTTTAATCCAAAAAGAAATCAGGTAATATATTGCAGCAGTTTAAAAAAATTAAATTGGTGAAATTCTACAAGCCCAATAAGCTGTTCATATTGGGTAGGATTTTAAGACCACCTGGAAGAGTATAAAGAGAGATGAGAAGGAGACATGAGCCTCTCTCATTTGGGAAGAACTGGTTTGGAGTCAAAAGAATACTGCCCAATTCACAACAGACCTTCCAGCAAAGCAACAGACTTCTAGCTCTAGCATCCCTTTCAGTCCTTGATGAAGGAAGAATGGTAACATATCTGAATTCTTACGAATGAGTGATAGGGTAGAGTAAGAGGGAAAAGACAGGTGCCTCTAAACATAAAAAGAGAAGTTGGAAGAGCCTTCTGGCAAAGAGACACAGAGGGATATACAATAAGAAACGAGATGAGTGAGAATTTCTGGGCTTATGAATCTTAATTATATGCTTGTGCTACCATCAAGCACAAAAGACATCCCAAAACATGAGAAATGTAGTGTAATCTACACTGAAACTGAAAAATACTTAAGAACAAGAATTAGTCTAGTCCATGTTTAGCAGGTCTCTAACATAGTGGTCTGACACCAAGAGCCAAATAGACAGCACCATCCGAGTCCAGCATTCCTATGCCATTTTGCATAGGACCAGATACCACAGCTGACTCTTACACTGAAGTCAATGCAACACTAGGCCCAGCAGCAAAAAGCAAAATCAATTCCATCCCTCGTCCCAAGTCGAATACATTGTTTTATTTACTAGCAGATGTACCTGGCATTGCTTTGGTCTTTAAGAGAAGTAATGGGTTTTGGGGTTTGTTTGGAAAATATACATACTTTATTTAAACAAGTGTATTTTTCAATAGTGAAGGGAAAAGAGTTTGTATTAAAGAAGGAAGGTGATTCAAACAGACAGAGCTTGTTTGCAGACAGTATTTGCAACTCTTCTTTTTCTACAGTAAAAAGAAGGTGGGGTGCAGGAGTGTGGACAGAAGGTAGGGGGGTGCTGAAGTCCGGGTAGGGGGTGGGAGGCCAGAGGAGCTTACCGGGGCCACATGTGGCGGCAAGGGTGGTTCTGATCTGGCAGAGGAGCCAAGGGTGCAGTCCCCACCCAGTGGCTTCTCCAGGGGGGCCAGGGCTGCACTCTCCAGTAGGTGGCTCACCTCGATCTCCAGCTTGTTCGGAGTGGGGGGAGCAGGACTGCGTGGGCCAGCCCCAGCCTCCAGATGCTCCTCCCCTACTCCCTGCTCTGCAGCTGGTCTCGGGGGGTAAGGCCCAGCCCCAGCCCACCCACCCCAGCCCACCTGTCTGGGGACAGGGGGCTTGGAGACTGGCCCTAGTCTCTAGCTGTGCCCCCTATGCTGAAGCTGGTCTGGGCCTCATGGAGGGAGAGGGAGAGTTCCTGGTCTCTCTTTGGGGGCAGAGGGGGGAATCACCTGGATGGGGTCTGGCTTCCATTGCCTAGCCCTGGAGGTTTTCCTGAAGTGGGGCCACAGTATGTGGGCTGAGGGGGACTTCCCCCCTCCTTCCAGCACTGTGTGGAGTAGGGGGATCACTTACCAGTGGCCTGTCCCCAGCTGGACACTCTCCTGCTGGTGCAGCTGCCTCCAATCATCACTCAGCAGTATAAAACTGTTCCCAGTAGTCACTCGGCAGTATCGCTGTCCTTCTGATCAGCACCCTCCTTTTCCATGTTATAGAAAACAATCCCTTTCCAGGCACTTTCCATTTTCCTAGCACAATCAAACCCTGACCTTGCTTTAAGTTTGGATAAGAGGAAGCAGCACACCAAATTTGGTCGTCTTGGCTCTTTCCATTTGCTCAAGAATGTCTCCTAAACAGTCTTGTAGACAGACACTCACAGATTCACAAACTCTAAAATACATATAGATTTTTGAAAAGCAGCAGCAGCAGCTTCAGGCAGGCAGAGTGACTCACCTTTTTGATTACGGTCTTGTAGACAGACACTCATAGATTTTTGAAAAGCAGCAGCAGCTTCAGGCAGGCAGAGTGACTCACCTTTTTGATTACATCATTGAGAAAAATTATCTCTGTAAGCTTCATTGTCAAGTCATCTTCATTGGTGCCAGATTTCAAGTCACTCACAACAGAGGGTCGGATGCACAATGGAGGTACCAGCAGTCGTGTCAGGATCAAATCGGAAGGCTTTCCTGCTTCTGGGTTCATCAGAAGCAGAGGGATATCTTCTGCTGGGATTCTTTTAAAGAGGTTTAATACCACTAAAGGAGTCAAGTTCTCCTGCAAAATTCAATGAAAACAGTTATAACGACCTCCAAGGGAGTAACAGCTCACTTTTGGCTATACAGGCAACCCCCAACTTACGACCACTCGACTTACGACCCTCCGCATTTATGACGGCATATGACGCAGACTCCATGCGTCAGCAGCAGTACCAGCCAGCAGCGGGTGGCGTTTGGACTGGCACCCCGCCAGGCCAGTGCCTTGCCCCGGGGTACCAATCAGCGCTGCTGCAGGCCTGGGACATTTGTGCGACATCCTTGGAGACCGCCCTGCTCCACCCCAGCGTGGCCTCTCAAACCTGGTATGCTGGGAACTTCAATTCCCAGGAGGCAAAGTGGGCAGCTGTTTCTCCCGCCACATGGACTCATGGGAATCGCAGTGGGTGGGGCTGGGAGCTGTGGCTGGCTCTGTTACAGTAGTGCTCCGCCTGGTTGTATTTTTAGGGTATGAAATGGGTTTCCAGGAACGGAATCGCCATTTATAACATTGCGCCTATGGGAAATAAGGGTTCAACTTACGATGGCTTGACTTACGATGGTTCTCCAGGAACCAATTAGGTTGTAAGTGTAAGCGGGCTCAGGGTAAACTTTATTCTGACATCTGGTGGTGAACTGTGGCAAGTGGTGCAAAGAGACCTCAGGTGTATGTAAGATTTCCCAGGTCACTGGGTGGGGGCTCGAGCCGGTGTTGTATTACCTTGTTGGGAGGAGACCCCTAGATACTGAACCCGGCCCTTGCTGCTATTTACTCGGCCTGGCAGAAGGGTTACATAAGCATGGGGTTCGCCTGTATCTTACTAATGTTTATTTCACTTGTCACTCGACTACTAATTGTACAAGTGAAAAAAACATTTAAAAAACCAAAACCATACATAGAGGAAGACTTTATGAATGCAAACAAAACCAAATTTCAGCGGTCCCAGCAAATATGGCTTGTTGATTCTTTCCCTTAAGCTTCTCCTCTTGCACTAGGTTTCTGTCTATACAGATTAATTGTTACAGAAGTCTGCTTTCTACAGCAATATGAGCATTTCTTAATTACTTGCCAAAGCAATGCAGTCAGCTTGCAACATACCTGCAGTAATGTGTAATGACCACCCATTTTAATAATTAGAGTTCACATGGATTACAGAACTATATTCTTTCATTATGTTTAGCAATTTGTTTTTTTAAAAAATGTTAAGTATTTTTCCTGAAGGAAGACTATATTGCTAACATATTTCAGATTAATTAATTAACACAAAGCTTACAAGCAGTGACTGTCTTTTGTAAAGTTGATTTATTATCACTGAAGAGAGATGCTTACATTCTGCATCACAATGTCTTCTACTTGCATTTTCCAAATATCTCTACCGAGAACTGACTGACCCATTAAGACCGCAGGGGAAAACCCCATACAATGCCAACCACAGCAAAGCACCAAAAACTATATATTCCAGTACAGGTTGAACCTCTGTGGTCCAGGACTCTCTGGTCCGGCAACATCTGTGGACACTAGTGCCCAGCATATGAAGAGCATCAAAACGGGGCAGCAGAGGCTGCACCTGGCAGGGCAGGGAAACCAGTGGGGCCACTGGGAGTTGTGGTGGGGGCTGGCTGCAGCTTGTGGGGCCAGAAGGCTAGAAGAGGAGGCTAGAGAGAGGAGCCTAGTGGGGAGACTGACACCTCCTGCATCCCAGACCTCTCCTGGTCCAGCAAACTTCCTTGTCAAGGACCAGTCAGGTCCCACGGCTGCCAGATCCAATCTGTATTATACTTGGGTCATTTCCTCCCACCCAGTTGTCAGCTCTTCCAATCACAGATAGGGTTTATGAGTATTATAAATATTCAAGACAGTTACTCAAGGAAACTGTCTCCGGGAGCCTAAATTTTTTGTCCCCTTGCCATCACCATGATTTCCTCACTAAGATTTGTTCACTGACAGCCACTGATTAGAGCATCCCTGTCCTTTGAATGCAGAAGACTGTGTCCCACAATAACCTGACTAGGTAAAGATGCTGCTCCTTGCAGAAACCATATAATAACTTGTTCAGATTCTCCTCTCCATGTATTGAAAGGCTAAACCAGCACCAGTCCTTTACCCTCTATACAAAATACTTTAGCTCAGCATTCAGAAATATATGCATCAAAATTAGCAGAATTCAAGCACTGGCAGATACACTCATTTACCTGAGCTCTCCCCAGCAAGGATTCCACTTCTTTGTTGTGTTCTATGGCAGTTTCAAAGGACTGCAGGAAACTGGATACTATTGGATCCACCACTTTCTTATTGGTCTTGTACTTCTCATGGATTATCTTCAATAACCCACACTTCTTTACAGTACCTGCAAGATAATTTGTTAGAAAAAAAATCAATTTTTGAGCTCTTCTAAATTTTTTTAAAAGTAATTTCCCCATAAACACAGCGTTAGGGAGAAGGCGCTGGCTCTGGTGACCTTTAGATACCAAGTTACTCTCTTCATGGAAAGAGGAGCTGCAGTTATGACAGTTTCCCAATGTTGCCTCGTCAGTGGATCTCACCTTCACTTGGACTACTTCTGAGGATGAAATGGTGGCTCACTCTGTGTGTCCATTTCACCTCTCCTCAAGAGTGGTAGGGATTTTTGCAATATACATGCTCTTGCACTAGGGACTGGACCCACAGTGCAAAAACTTGTTTCACTCACAAGTCATTCAGAGAGTAGCTTTTGCTCTTTACCAACCTAGAATGGATTTGAGCTAGTGACCTAATGGCATAAGACATTATAACCATTTCTGTTCGAGACAGTTAGTCCTCTCAAATTGTGCTGTTCTATTGTACTCGTTAAGAAAGAGGACAAACTGATTTGGAAAACAAAACAAAGCCACAACTAAAAACTGACAATAGCTGGAATAAGTTCAAAGAACCAGAAATCTCCCAAAGAACAAATTTCCACTTCTGATGCATGTGAGCATTTGACTCCAGAAGGGACACTACATTAACTAATTTCCCCCACCACTTCAATTAACCTCTCGATAGCTTCACAACACAGATGAGGCAGTTTTTCCTGTGTGTTTTTTAACTGCAGGGCTTTTTTGCACATCCACATTAGATTGAGATTCTAATTTGATGAGCATTTCACCTTCTCACTATCTGTTTCTGTGTATGTGTAAAAAGAAACTGGAGGTTCTGCAAGACGAATAGCAGTGTGTTATATCTCCGGATGACAAAATACAATGAAAAAAAAATTTAAAAGATTACCTCAAATGTTTGTTTTTTTGGGGACATATACAGCTTCAAAAACAACAACAAATATTGACTTGTATATGAAACCTCACATATACACTAGGGATGTAAAACCCAATTAAAGAGGATAACTGTTTAAACCTCAAGCTGGTTTTTAAACTGGCTACCCTTGCGGACCAACTCCCACCTGGCACTCCACGTACCTGCCTCTTATACAGAGGCAGCAGTGCGGAATGGCATGATTCTCTTCGGCAGTGGGGCAGAAACACTGGCTGCCGGCCCCAACCTGGGGACTATAGAATAGTCGAGTAGATTATAAGAATTCATGACATTCAATTAACGGATATTTAACATCCAAACTGGGTGCTAGTGTCCACACTCACCATTGAAAGCGCTACAGTAGGGGCAGGTGCTTTTCTTTCTGCACTTCTCTGAGACTTTCTTTTTCAATCCTCGTTTTTGTAGGTAGGTCAGACCAGGCCTCTTCAGATAATCCAAAAACTGTTTCCTCTCCTCAAAGGACAATAGGATACGGCAACAGGTCTTGCAGATCATCTTAAATGTAAACAACTGATCAACCCTCATTCTTTTATTAGAAATAAATAAATATGTGATTAAGGACAAATTATAATGAGGGGCGCCACAGTTCTTCTTAAACCGTTATGCATGAAGTTTTATGGAGGAAATTCCATAGCCTTAGCAGGGAAACCCAATTAGTTCACAGGACACAGCCCAACAGACTGGAGCAATTGGGAAAACTGTGGCCAATAGGACAAAATCTAATGATTAAGTAAAGTTCAGGAACTTATATGTCCATGCAAAGAGACATAACTTTTATTGGCATCACTTAAAAGACAAACTTCGAAGAAACTTTGCAGCTTGAAAAGAGGTTACTCTATAAACATTGCAAATCAGGTACTTAGACAATTGAGGATTCTATCAAAGGGGAACACTTATGTAAAACAAAGACATCAATACTGACCAAAGTGTTCTGCCAACGAACAAAACAAAAACAAACACAAAAAGCAAACAAAAAACCCAGCACCATCTTTTTCATAGTTCCCAAAGGGATAATTCAAATGAAGTAAAATCTCATCTTCTCTGACATCTCCCCCTTCTTCTTAGGCTGGGTATAATAATTGCTGCCTGGGAAATTAAGGGAAATTATGTTACCTGTAAGATGCCTATGACAGCTTTAAAGTACCCAACATGGAAACATGGCAGCTCCAAGTCAATGTAGCCATAATGCCCCAAACACTCGGCTAGATTCTTTCCACAGGTTTCACATGGACGGTCCTTTTCACTTGTACCCTTTGAAAAATATACACACAGAAACATTATAGCTGCAACTATCAAATTGGGGGGACAAAAGAAGCTATCACAGCTGTTTTTAAATTAGTTCATATTCCTGTGAACAGTGCACTGTACACTCACATGAAAGGATGTCAGATCATTTTAACTCTGAACTCTTGCTGTCAGTCAGCAAGAGCTAAGAACACACTGAAAGCATCATACGCAATAGCCAATCCTTACAGAAACAGAGCATCTTGCACTGCTCCTACTAATGCAAGTAGTGTTAACTCATCCAGTCTTATTCATCTGGAAAGACTACAATAGTGACAAGGCACTAAAAGTATGCCCACACTATAGAGGGCATAATTTGCAGCTTGTGTAGATGTACCCACATTACTCGGTAACAGCAGTTAGGATGCACCAGCAAGGGTTTCAGTGCAGATTGCACAACCCCACCTGATCCCCCTGAGTGCATACTAGCAATGACAACACATGCTAAAACCCACAACGTTATCTACACAAGCTGCAAATAAGTTTCCAGATACAAGGCAGAGATTACCCATAGAGGGTGCATATGTTGTGGTCATGTGAAAAGCACAGCGAGTAATTTGTATCCAGCTTCGAAAGTGAGTCTAACTGATCTCTCCAACAGTGTAAAATGCCTGATGGCAGAAATCACATTCCAATTCAAGAGCAGCGTGTATCAAAAGACACTATTGTAATTGGCAATTTCAGCAAAAGAGCCAAGGAAACATAACTATCTTCTTCCTCTCAGCTCATGTAGTTTAAGGGGAAGTTTGCGTAGGCACCACTTTTCTATGGCTAGATAGTGGAATTCAGTTTTTATTTCAGTACTATCCATAAACATTAAAAATATTTCTGTTAAAAAAACATACAAACTAGGAAGTAGCAATGATCCTTACCATTCGGTGGTCCAGTACTCCATACAGCAGTGGAGAGTGGTGGTTGTCCTGGCTGTACAAATTCTTACTAACCACCTGAATATGAGCCTGTTGACGCATCTCTTCTGGAGATTTCATCCCAAAGCAGATGTGGCTTCTAGAATAGGAAAAAGCACAAAACTTGATTTAAAAAAGATATACAAGAAGCTAATCTGAGTTACAATAAAGTTATACTTCCATATTGGGGGAGCGGGGGTGTGTGGAAGGGATCATGATGCTTATGTATTTTTACTTTACAGTGGTCCCCAAACTGTGGGGCACTCCAAGGAGAATGGAAGAGCCCAAGCCAGCAGGAAAGGAGAGCCATCCAGACCTACTCTGCCCCCAGCTCAGCTTCTCTCAGTCTCCCCAGCTCCAGGCCCTCCAACAGAAGTGCCAACCCTGGCTCTGGACTGCAGCTCTGGGGAGTGTGTGCGGGGGAGGGGAGGGGAAGAATCCATTATTTGTGAAGAGGGGGGACACAACAGAAAAAGTTTGGGGGCCCCTGCTGTCGAGTTTGTCACATGGACGTGCTCTGCGCACAGAGTCAAGAGCCTCTCTCAGCAATACTCATGCAAAGCAATTACCAAGTCCAAATGAGGTCAGCTTGCAGGAAATGTGGAC